AAGGTGTTGTGGTCCATTTCCAGGGAGATCCAGTTCAATATCTGTGTGGTCCAAATGTTCTTCATTCACACTTTCTCCTTCACTGAATCATCTGTGCTCTTGGCCATGGCCCTTGACCGCTATGTGGCCATCTGCCACCCCCTGCGATATGTGACCCTTCTCACCCCAAGACTTATCACTAAAATTGGAATTGCAGCTCTGCTTAGGAGTGCCTTACCCACGATTCCACTTGTGGCCAGGCTGCCCTTCTTTCCTTTCTGCCGCTCCCACATCCTTTCTCATTCCTATTGTCTGCACCAAGACATTATCCGCCTTGCCTGTGCTAACACCAAGTTTAATGTTATATATGGGACGGTTGTGATCACTATGCTGTGGGGCATGGACTCTCTGGGTATTTTTGTATCTTATGTGTTTATCCTCCACTCAGTATTAAGAATTTCATCCCATGAGGGGAGGTTTAAGGCCCTTAACACATGTGCATCCCACATCTGTGCTGTACTCATTCTATATGTGCCTATGATTGGGCTATCTATCATCCATCGTTTTGTCAAACACTCTTCTCCACTCAGCCTCGTCCTCATGGGTCATATCTACTTATTAGTTCCACCTGTGCTCAACCCAATCATCTATAGTGTGAAGACTAAGCAGATCCGCCAAGGAATTCTCCACCTACTTCTCCCCCCCAAAATTAGTTCTGCTGTGATATAGACATGTCCTCAAGAAAATGCTGGCATCTCTCTTAATGATGTCAATACTAAGCGATTTGTCTGCTCTAGGTATGTTGGCACCAGAATTACCAAGGAAAGACTACTTAAAAAGCAGAAAGAGAGCTAACAGAGCATAACGAAAAAAGTCCCAAAGGAGAGAATTGGTGTCCACTGAAACTGTACAGCCTGGCTTAACATGTGCTTCATAAATCCCCTTTAATTAGGAATGTATTGGAGTGGCATGTATGGGAAATCATTTCCACCTATCCTTTCTCATTTCTAATCCGAACACTTATTCAAGGTCACTTGGTAATAAAGTTTTCCTTAAATATACTAGCCTCACATTTCTTTGCTTCTTGACATTCTGTATTCACAGGAAATCCTATACTACCTTTCTCCTTATATAAATGTGTTTGTAAATCTGCTTATTTTATCTTCCTTAAAGTTGGAAAAATCTTATCTTGATAATTTTATTTTAGTTATTTATTTTTTTTACCCCAAAGCCCCAGTAGATAGTTGTATGTCATAGCTGCACATCCTTCTAGTTGCTGTATGTGGGACGCTGCCTCAGCATGGCC